GCGGCAGAATTAAAGACGGCTCTGCGTAGCACATACAGTAGACATAGACCGTGCTGTGTGCATCTCATCTCCTTAGGTGCGGCTGTGGGTATATGTGTTTTATGATCACGTCCAGCTCACCTTATAGCCAAAGCAGGACAAGCAAGATGTGCCGAAGGAAGTCCAATGGACATGGCATGCTGCAAATGAAGCAATCGCACAATTGGTGATCGCACTCCTTGATCGAGGATATGGCTGCTAGTTTGTACGGACTATACCGGACATTTAGCAAAGGTCGTCAATGCGAAGTGTGTTGCATTCCATCACGCTTGAGCGCCCCCCCCTGCCGCAACGCCACCGAGAGATGGCAACACCGAGTACGGGAGGTACGCTGTCGGGTCGCACCACGGAGGCGGGCCTGGAGTCTGTAACGACAGGTGCGCCTGACGAGACCTTGCGTGGCATCGCACTCTGTGACAGAATCCCAGCATCGCTCATTTTGTGCTGCCTTGATTGCTGCCACTCCAAAGTGGTGGTCCATTCCCACCCCGCCGCCTTTGCGCCAGCTGCTCTAGTTCTCGAAAATGGGTCTCATCGTCATCGCCCTTGCTGTCTGCGATCCCGCGGCCAACAACTCCTCCATGGAGCTCTCGTGCCGGCTGGCCAATCGCAAATGAAGCACTGCCACGCACGCTCGCTTGTAGGTGCGGGCGCGGCGCAGTACCGTGCCGCGGATCGCAATTTGCCCCCGTCAGTCCGCCAACTGCCACCTCGCCGCGGACGTGTATGTGTGCGGACCTACTCCCCGTCCTGGAGAAGCGCCCGCCCGTCGTGAGTGGCGATTTCTGGCACCAGGAATGAGAGCCTCGCGTCGAGCGGACGGCAAACACGACCCCCCCATGCTGCCCGAATCGTTGGCTGTCTGAATGCGCGGAAGAGACCGCCTTGCCTACTTGGTAGTCGACGATTGTCGCGTGGCCCCAACCGCTCACCCACCCAATCTACCATGCGTTCCGCCGCGAGAGCGATGGCGCGAGGAGCCAGGATATTGAGCATGAGCGTGGGTGGGCGATGGTTAGCTGAGGTGGATCCGTGCCGATTTGCGCAACTTGAGAGGCGCGCCGCGCGTGCGACGAGTGGCGGCCGCGAATCACGTCCTGCGCCATCGGGTGCGCCCACTTGCAGGATGGACGAGCGCAATTCGCGCGATCGGCGTGTGGCGGTGCGTCGACTTTCGATCGCCGGCTTCAAGACCGACTTGGACCTGGTGGTGCGAATCGAGCATGGTTTGGTTGTTCATTGGTGGGATGCCGCTGTTCCTGCCCTCGCCTTCTCAGGGGCAAGGGCCTTGTTGTGTCATGTGTTTTGACATACACGAGCAACGGATTCCGTGCGCACATATATATGCTGTTATCGAACACGACAATGCACGGATTTTGCAGTCATGGCGCAGTGGACGGCGCTGCTAACGGCTACAGGCGTGTCCTACCAACATGTAATAATAAAGCGAAGCTGATGGCAAGTTGCTAAAGTACTTCTGGTGCATCATTACTTTTACCTCATTCACTCCCGGCATTAGTATCGTTGTTGTGCAATTGAGACAGCGCCGAGCAACGATACAGTAGGCCAATTTCGCCGCCATTTTCGCAACTTTGGCATTTCCATCTACGCTACTCCGCATTGAAACGCGAGCATCGCTGTGGTGTCCCTGGGCATTACCTGAATAGGCCTTTTTCCTGTATGCCCTACAATCGCAAAACTCATCGCCATAGCTGATATATGTGCGGCCATTTTACAGAAGTGTGTCCCAATTCTGCAGATAATCCTTACAGCTTTCTCTCTCAGAGAGGTCCCCGGGATAAATTAAAGACATGACGAGTGCGCTTGTTGTAAAAGACTCTCTCCGCAGACTCTGGTGGCGGTATCTGCGTGGATGCGAATGAAGTTGCTGAACGGCGGAAGCGAGTAGCACCTCTTGCGAAGCGGGAGATGAACATCCACGGCGAGGTGGGGATGAATGAAGTTCCTTTCAGTATCTGTAGCTGCCCAGCAACAGTTTCATGGCCACTTGAAAGGATACACAAGGCATGAACAATTTGAACAGAACCATTTTCTAAGCAAGCCAGACTCGAGACATCATCTGAGGTGCATAGTTACTAGACATATTCTACAAGTTGACATCCAGCCGTTGCCGGCTTGTGCGCCACGACCCAAACTTGCTGATTTTATCTGATGTACTCCCCGTTCGGGTCTGCAATTGATTTCGTCTGAAGAAAACCGTCAGGCACGAAATTGCCCGTGCTCGTTCCGGGTGGGGATGTCCATAGATTACATGAGGGTCACGTGTTCTGCACGGTCCCAAGAAACGGGAAAGAAGGGACGCAGAAAGAATGCTGCAACCAGTGCATTACCCCGTGTGCCTGTCTGCTTGAGAAACGCGGGCAGGTTTTGGATGATTATCATGTCGTTCTCCGAAAACGTCTAAAACATCTCAAAACCGCTGCAAGGGCTGTGCGACTGGCAGGATGCATCACACCCTCATTAAGTCGCATGTTTGGATTCACTGAAGTAATGCCAGTGCTTGGCGTTGGGATTCGCTGGTTAGTGACATCCAGTACTTACTGGAATTAATATGTCGGCATTCTGCAGATCGCATTATTAGTCAAATTTAACGTAAAAGACGAATAACTGACGAATACGCCGTGTTTAGGGCGCCCAATTAACCATGGCTCCATATTACCCTGCCAAAGTAAAGGGCTCAAGGTTGTGTGATAGCTGCTATGACAGGTCCATTGGCGTGCTCTGCTCTTTGTTGTGCGTTATTCCTGCGCTAAAATGTGTTGCACCTGGGGTTCATGCATTGTGCACCACGCAGTATCAACGAGTTTCCTCAATTGTTTGATCATTCTGGTCGTGTCCAATGCAAATGAAGTTCGTGAGTGGACATCAATCGACACAATCGCAAACGAACGGCAGCTCTCTCTACCGCAGCCACGGACTTAGGATACCGGAGAAGACATTCCTGCTGTTTCTTGGCTGGCGGCGAAGGCAATGTAACAGGCATTCCTAGGTGAGTTCCCACTCTAAATTGCTGGGATCTTTGGAAACGCCACCCGGCCCGTGTGCGCCCATTGAGAGTAGGACGTGTCCAGGCGCATACAAAAATAACGTCATGCAGCCCATTGCCAGGAGTGCGTTGTCATTCTCTAGATTCTCGTATATCAGCATCATTAGCATCCCGATTCCGTCTCTCTACGCTGCTGAGCTGACTGCAGCCACACGCTTGTGATATCGGTGGAGAGTGTCCTGGGTCGAGATTCGCCCAAGCATGTGTGCGTGGCCATCACATTGCGCCGCGAGCACTTCCCGGCCATCCTCGGAATGGGAGGCGCGCCGGGAGCTTCTCGTCCATCATGCCAAAATCGCAGCTGGCGATGCAGATTATGCGATGTGGAATGCCCATCGGCGGTATCCTGTGGACAAAATGACGGTCAGTATTTCCGCCGGTTCAGTGAGTGCGTCCTGATGCGTGTTCCTCAGGCGTGCAATCATACACCAAAAATGAGGGCCGCCAACATCTGCGTCAAATGATGTTTCCTTTCACACAAGTGCAGAAAATGGGGTGAAAATAACACTGCTGCGATTGTAATCCCGTGCACCCATCCATGAAGGCTTCTTGCGGGTGCAGATTCGCGTACATTACATATTACACCACAAACTTTGCCCCAATGGATTTGGTGCTCGATGAAGTCCATCACACCTATGGAAATCGGCTGGAGGAATTGGCGCGACGTCTGTGCCCAATCTCCTGCAGCGATTGACTTTACACACCTTGCGCGATGGCATCATTTCTAGCATCATGACACACCCCTCACCATGCAAATGCAGAGCAGTCTAAAGGGCAGTCGTGAACTTGCTACCTACATATCCAGAAGTTGGTTGCTGGACACACTTTTTGAGACGACCTCTGGGAAAGGAGCCTCGTTGATCACATCATTTTGTTGTAATTCAGAACGTCCCAGCTGATATCCAGAAGTCTGCCAAAGTCGATCCTCGGCTTGCCCACTTTGACATCTTCAAGCCAGTCTCTCGCAAAGGTGAGCAGAGCGCCACCATCCGGCCGCACACACTAGCCTTTCCTGGCCATACTCGGAATTAGAGGCGCGCCGGAAAGCTATCGAATAGCCCAACACCTCGAAAGCGTAGCCTAATGTGTCGGTAGTCCGTGGCTCGCCCATCAACACACCCTGCATAAAAAACTAGAATGGGTGAAAGTCAGTATTTATGCTGGTGCAGTGAGTGCTTTTTGAAGCATCTCTCTTTGGTGTGCGCTGATAAACCCCGTAGAGATAGCCTTAGGGAGCCGCCAAATCTGTTGCCAAATAATTGTTTTCTTTTGCACAAGCGCAAAAATAGAATGAAAAGGACACTGCTACCATGTGTGGCCCCGTGTGCGCATCCATGAAGGCTGCCTGCGGAAGATATTCGCCACAACACAAAATTTTCACCAACAGGTTTGGTGCTCGATGATCTCCATCGCACAAATGGAAATTGGGTGAAGGAAGTGGCATGACCTGCACTGGCGACAAAAGATCAATAACACTATTGCAAGCACACATAAAACACATTTCATTGAGGTTCAGCGAGCTAAGAACGCAGAAAGAACCCAAACCCGTAAACTCTGTACACGTCTAAACACGTGTTGTTTGGCCCTTTTTTCCTAGTATTGTCTGCCCAAATTCCTGCAATGATTGGCTTCACACACCGTGCGTGATGGCATCATCTCCAGGACCACAGCACACGCCTCCGACTCGTGGTGGGGACCCATGGCCCCATGAAATGTCTCATTCAAGTGGCCCTCCTTGGTCGCCTTGGCACTTCCATCGACGTGGTTTGGTCGCCACCGATGGACCACAGGCACAGGCCCTGCTCGCTCTTCTGGATGCGTAATTGGCCCTGAGCTTAGCCCCTCTTCCGGGCCATGGGTCTCCACCGCAGACCTCCGGTACCTCTGCCCTCCGATGTGTGTCCCCAAATGCCGGCGCTGTTACAGAGATTTTGGCCAGCGCTTGGCGGGGACGGTGGGCGGCGGGGAGGGGCCCGGGGACCGGCAGGAGAAGGCAGGATTGACGGTCCCAAAGGCGCGGCGCAGAGGAGGGGTGGCCAGAGAAGGGCAGCAACAGGCGCGCGGGGGCGGGGAGGCAATTGGCAGACGCGTTTTTAAGATGCGCGAGGCGACTCCCTTCCCCATCGATCAGAACACCAAAATAGGTGCGATATTGCAGGAAAGTATGCGTTCGCTCGAAAGGCCAGACCCCAACACAAAATATGCTGTATCCCAAGGTTTGCATTAATATTCATATTGTTTCCCCCCCAAAAAAACAAGCGTGACATTACTTTACGAAAGGGATTAATGTTTTACGGGATCAGCTCGTGTTCCATGGTTATTTTGGATATAGGGACTTACATTTCGAGTGGCTCAAGTACTCTTAGATGTAATTGGCTGATCCTATTTGTCCATGTTGTCCAGGTTGCACATTTTGCGATCCCGAAGGAAAGAAGTGTTCTATTTCATTAGGTGTTGTGTCATTTCCAACAAGAGAAAAAGAAATACCGGCAATTACGTACATTCGCTTAAAAAGAATTGTGTGGTACATTGTACATGTAGTTCCGCTTTCCGTGGTCCTTTAGCAGGACCCGGAACACACAGCAGTTTTGTGTCGAGGCGTGCTTTCTATGCGTACACTTTCAGTTTTGTGACAACAACGTATGGCATTATTAAGGCAAGGGTCCAGCCTTTCGGTGAGCGAAATAAGTTGAACCGTATGCTACTTAACAAAGACAACAAGAGCAAAACAAAACAGTGCTGTACTTATTCACTTGGTCATCAATTGTTCAATGTGTTTGCGAATTTGTTGCACTTTTGACAAGAAACAACAAACAAAAGCACCAACACCACACCAGCGCAAACACCTACACAAACAGCAACACAGGCACAAGCACAAGCACGAAAATGACAAAACACGGATTTTGATTCTCTACCTAGTTTTTCATCAATAGCTTACTCAAGTTTTGCCTAGACATCAAATGCAAGTGCTGCACCGAAAAGCAACAAGAAGTGAACAAAACGACAAAATCACTTGTTCTCTTGTCCACAATATTCTTGCTAATTGGTTAATTGCTTACATTTCACGTGTTACCATTTCATTTACTTATCTCTATATATTCATTCGTTTTCCATATGTTCAATTACTGTTTGTGCGTTTTGTATCTCGGTAATAAGCAGCAGAGGCAATGAAAACCAGTTAGGAATTTGTGGGGCTTTCCTGCAATACGCCGCCTATTTTGATTTTCTCATTGATGGGTAAGTTCATCATTATGCATTGTGCACCTTCGCGGCACCCGCAACCCGCCATATGCGCACCCACACGCCCCAATCCTGAAGCCGCCACATCCCCGCCTGCCCCTGGCCCCTGGCCCTACCAATGGTCCCGTCGCCCCCGCCAGCCCCACCGGCCACCCGGGACCCGCTTACCCCACCGCCTCACCGCCCCTCATTTGTTGGGCGGGCTCGCCGTGAACCACCCCTGCAGTCCCCACGGAATCCCCCCGGATGGTGCCCCTGGTTTTCCCTTCTTGCCGCCCCGCAACTCTGCTTCGCTGTTCCTCCTTAGTGCCTCATGTTCTGCCTCACCGCTGGCGGTTCCATCATTCTCACCCTACCATTCCCGCCCTTGCTTGCAGTGAGAGTCTTGCTGCCAAGGGCGCATCGATCTCTTGCACATTTTGTGCATCAAGAGCAGCAACCTCTGCGCCACATACTGTGAGGGTGCCGTTGCGCTCACGCTCCACCACAATTATCTGATTCTCCGCTGTGCTTGCGCTGCAGACACATAACAGGTGCCATAGTGCACTGTGTCGTCCTTCCTAGGCCATGAGGGCCATTCTCCACATGTCCAGGCGCTGAGGCCTCCTGAGCCTGGGGCACACATCCGAGGGGGCACACATCCGTGGGGACGCATATCCGGTGGGGGGCGCACCCCCTGTCACGGTGGGGGCGCATCCCGTGCCGCCGCGTGTCTCCAGGGACACGCCCCCGGAGGTGCACCCCCCTGGGGACACACATCTGCTCATTGCCGCAAGCTCCTCCTGTACACATGATCAGCGAATGGTTAAGAAAAGATATAGTTGGCAACATTGATATAGGCGAAATACAAATCTACCGCGAGATGGTCCATCCGCTATGCATTGCTTCTACACCACGAACAATTTTCGGAATCTCCTTGCGATTGTATCCGACACGTAACTATAAAACTGCTAAGTTTTTGCAATATCGAATCGTAAGGGGAGTCTACCCGTTTCAAGTTATAATCAAGCACTCACAACTACCTTGCATATGACCATTCTCAGAACACTGACTCCGGCCCGTTCCAGCTCTCCATAGGCCTCGCTCAATGTCACATCTGCGAACAGCTCCACGGACCGCGACTGGCCAATCGTGTGGATCTGGCCGTTTATTATCGCCTCCCCCTCCTCGCTCGAATCTTCCCAAAGCTGTACACATGTCCCCAGCCGCGCTAGGCGCAGTGGTGAGGGGTGCGAGATGCCATGCAGATCTTCTTGGTTACCCCCATCACGGAATCCTGCCAGTAAATTGGCCAATTGGTTCACAAAAGCTCTTTAGGTTTGAAATTGATGCTGCGTGCTGTGGCGATGGCGACTGCACTGCGCCCCTGGGGGAGTGAATCTTGTGGAAGTGCACTCTATCAAATATATGGCAGTACAAACATCCAACCTTGTTGACATATTTCAAGACATTTTACATACCAGATTATTCTAGTAATTTGTGAGAATCTAAAAGATGAATTAATGTGAAACGAGGCAAAGCGCGTAGAGTACATTACAAGAAAGAAATAAAGCAGAACAAAGCAAAACTGCAAGAGAATTAAGCACAATTGACCAATTTCTTCAGCTTTCCCTTACAGTAAGAGCCGGTGAGCATTATCGCTCGAAACCATAGGTTTATGTCAATACGGAATTTCAGATTAACGCTCCACCACAGTTTCCCCTTCACGGCTGATAAGCACAAAGCATGGGTGAATCGAGTACAGCGCTGGTGAGTGTAGACAATCACCTTCCATGTCGTTATCTGAATCATCTCCTGTACACATAATTATCCCGTGGCTAGCACATAGTCAAGATCATCACGTTGATATCTCATAGCGTTGATGTAAGCTTCAGTCGACACATTGGCGAAATACACATCTACGCATGAGATGGTCCATCTACGCATTGTTATCTACGATTTTCATCATCTTCTTGCGACTGCATCCAATGCGTAACTGTAAAATGGCAAATTTTCCCGGTACTGAATCTCAAGGGGAGCCTGTCCGTCTCGAATTATAATCAAGCACTCACGCACAGTTCATGATGATGAGAAAGGCGCACGGCAGATCAGCGCCAGCCCGCCGCCTTTCCCTGAACAACTGACAAATAATGAACAGCAGAAAAGGCGAATTGACTACCTTGCACATGACCATTCTCAGAACACTGACTCCGTCCCGATCCAGATCTTCGCCGGCCTCGCTCAATGCCGCATCTGCGAAGAGCTCCACGGATCGCGACTGGCCAATCGTGCGGATCAATCGCCTCCCCCTGCTGGCGCGAATCTTCCCACAGCTGTCCACATATCCCCAGGCGCGCTGGGCGCAGTGGTGAGGGGTGCGAGATGCCATGCAGACTTCTTTGTTTCCAGATCACGGAATCCTGCCATGAAGTTGGTCGATTGGTTCGTAAAGGACTCTGGATTCGAAATTGATATTGCGTGGAGTGGCGATGACAACTACACTGCTGAGCTTTGAAAAAAACCTCAGGTGAAGAACTTGCCAGCTTTTAGAGACATTCTCATTCAGACTTGCCAAAAATTGGGGCCGCGATCATTAGCAGACAATGGCTTCCGAAGGTATTGAAACATACTATATTGAAATTTGATGCTTTGCCGCACGCAAGAAAACTATTACCAAATGAGGAGGATATATGAGGCACAATAAAACCACAAACTTAGAATCAAGCCAATGCCCAGGCTATGTCCTGATCCGAAATGAAATGAAGCAAAAAGTAAGTTCAGGTATTTGTGTAATATGCACGAGCAATAGAATGATGGAAAAGCAAATTTGGGAAGCCACACTCTGCGTCGACTGCATACAATTGATAAAAGAAACATTGGTAAGACGTCATATGTTATGTCCCTGTAATGCTGGTGCTTTGTTCATATGGCCACCAACATGGCAAGAAATATGAGCGATGTGGTTTACTCGTTTCAATGCCACTAAGTCCCTGTATGCTTCGAGTCGATATTTCATGATTGAATTTGGCAAGAGAATGACGCATAATCAACATATTCCCCTCCGCGGACGTCGTACCGCTATGTATCATAGCGCTGCGGTTATTATACTTATGGTCGACAGCTACATGAAATAATCGTACGAAAATTGGAGTCAGCGCTTACAAATCTTGCTCCCCTAGTGGAGCCTAGTGGATGCTAGAGATAAAGCACGAGCGAAACAAAGCAAGCTCTCATTTGTGCAGGCAAGTACCTCTTTTTCCGTCATCAGAATAATTGCAGATTGGGCTTACTGTGGAAGTTGAGTCAGCCCTGTCACAGAGTATGCGCCTCCGTCATTAAGCTCTTCGATTTGCGAGATGCTGCACGCAACCTGAAAGTGACATTGCTTCACTCATAAAAAGTATTTCATGCCGCCAGTTACTGTCCACTTCAATGATCTCAAGTAAAGATCATAACGTTGATAGTTCATAGCGCTGATGTAAGCTTCAGTCGACACATTGGCGAAATACACATCTACGCATTGTTATCTACGATTTTCAGCATCTTCTTGCGACTGCATCCAATGCGTAACTGTAAAATGGAAGATTTTTCCAGTACTGAGTCTCGACGGGAGCCTGTCCATTTCGAATTATAATCAAGCACTCACGCACAGTTCATGATAATGAGAAAGGCGCACGGCAGCGCAGCGCCAGCCCGCCGCCTTCCTCTGTGCACCTGACAAATAATGAACAGCAGAAATGGGGAATTGACTACCTTGCACATGACCATTCTCAGAACACTGACTCCGGCCCGATCCAGATCTCCACCGGCCTCGCTCAGTGCCTCATCTGCGAAGAGCTCCACGGACCGTGACTGGCCAATCGTGCGGATCAATCGCCTCCCCCAGCTGGCGTGAATCTTCCCACGGCTGTCCACATATCCCCAGGCGCGCTGGGCGCAGTGGTGAGGGGTGCGCGATGCCATGCATACTTCTTTGTTTCCAGATCACGGAATCCTGCCATGAAGTTG